TTAACCACTGTGCTACCAGGGCTCCTTGAGGCTATTTATAGTAATTATTTATTCATATACATTTATTTTGCTGCAGATATCTTAACGATTTTGAATATAGGATTCTGCCTAAGACTTCACTGGAGTGTGTTTATTAACTTCCTAAACTCTGAAGAATTCTAAATTTTAAAACACATCTAGCCCCACAGGTTTTGGATAAAAGATTGTGGACCTATATTTCCCTCAGAACCTAAACAGTTTCTATTTCCTTAAAATGAATTAAACAAAAACCCAGTTGCTGTGGAGTCGATTGCAACTCATGGCGACCCATGTGTGTCAGAGTAGAACTGTGCTCCATAGGGTTTTCAACGGCTGATTTTTTGGAAATAGATCACCAGGCCTTTCTTCCAAGTCACCTCTGCACTGACTTACTCTCCACTGCTAAACTTGGGTTAGCAGTCAAGCATGTTAACCATTTGTACCACCCAGGGACTCCTTATAATGAATAGCATATTCTCAAATAGCCACAAGCAAAGAACACCCTGGACGTAGCAGTAGAGAATTTTAGGATGAAGAAGATATTTCCCAGTACAGTTAGGAAGGCCCTGCATTCCTAGAATGTTCCTTTCAAATAAAATCTATTTGTAATATTTTATTTACGTGTCATAGTAAGAGTTTTCAAACTCTAAATTCTAGGACTTGCTTAAACAAAGTTCATTCTCATAATTTAGATCACAGATAAATAATTAAATCTCTTTGAGGGCATTAATGTTCCCTGAATCATGCGTACCAAATCATCACAGGACTTTAGAGCTGGAAGAGACCCTTGAGAACTAATCTAAACTATTATCTCTTTCCTTCCACTCTGTTCTATCATCCGTAAATTTACTCTCCCCTGTGAGGAAAGAATAACCTGCTCTAACTTGTCCTTAGACTCTAACTTCTGTCCATAGGAACACCTTGTAGGTGAATGTGAATAAACTGGGTGGTGTACACTGAGTGACAGACTTGGGATCTAAAAGGATGACTTGAATCTAACACAACCAATCTTACAAGTCTGGCGAATGTGACAGCTTATACTTTAGAAAATAACAAGAATTTCCAAGTTCAGAATGAAGGAAAACTCAAGACGCATTTTTTAAAAAAGACAAAAATAGATAAATAAATGGATGAATGAAAGACTCAGCTATCTTAATGGACTCAATGAGTCAACAGCCTAATGAGGCTGCCAAAAATAGCTACTGTGACTAGGGACTACATCAACAGTACTACAGTATCCAAGAAAGAACTAGGTAACTGCCTGCTCCATGTGCTAGTTATAGCACACCTGGAGTATTATGTTCTGCTCTGTGTTCCACACTTTGGGAGAGACAAAAAGACTGAAAACGGGCAGAAGACGGGTGACCAGGACAGCGGGGGAATTTGAAACCATGTCACATAAAGAACAGTCGAGGGAGCTAAAATTATTCAGTCCAGACTCACAGAGAACATGATCACTCTCCCCAAATCCCTGAAGAGCCGTCATGGCACAGAGAGAGCAGACTTGTTCCGCATGGCTCCAAAGGAGAGAACCAGAACCAGTCAGTGTTAAGTACAGAGAGAAATATTTCAGCTAAGCCTATGGAAGTACTTCTGAAAATATAGAACCACATTAGGAGGTAGCAGCTTCTGAAGTCCTGTCTAGGCCTGTTGTTGTTGTATGTCGTTGAGTTGATTCTGACTCATAGCGCCCCTATATGGCAGAGTCAAACGGCCCTCATAGGGTTTCCTAGGCTGTAATCTTTATGGGAGCAAACTGCCAGGTCTTTTCTCCTCTGGAGCCGCCTTTGGGTTCGAACCACCGACCTTTTAGTTAGCAGCCAAGTGCTTAACCATTGAGCCACCAGGGCTCCTTTGTCTAGCCCTAAAGGTCTATAATTTAAAAAATCAAATATTTGTCATCACCTCAGTATCTTCCTGCTAATTATTACTATTACGAGCCTCTTGTACCACAGCCTCTCCCTTCAGCCTTCTTAAATGCCCTATCCAGCCAATGAAGCAGCCAAATACTTTGGCATGTCTGTGGGAGGAAAGTGCCTGCTTGCCGGGCAATTAGTTTCAGTTTGCAGATGAGTGTCCCTGTAAACAAAAGAGGGCCCTAACTGAGGGTCAGGCAAGAGCTCTCAGCTAGACTTACGTGAAAGAAATTTTTACTAAATCAAAAAGCAGCTATAAGACCATCCCATCAAATAATGTATATTATCAGTGACATTTGGTCCTTACAAGAACATTGAAATAAAAAATCCTGTACAGCCATCTTCCCAAATGCAGGGAGTCTGACTTTGCAAGTCAAACCAGCTCTCTCAAATTCAACTAGAAGTTTCCCTTCTGTCAAAGAGATGTGTTTAGTATTTGAAGTAGACTATCTCTGGTACCCATGCTCAGATAAAAAAGTCCACACTTGGTTATATCACTTTAAAGCTAAAATTGCCTATCAATAGGCGTACAGAGTCAGCTCAGCTGCTGAGGACTAGACACAGGCAATCCAGAGTGAATTCATGAAAAAGTATAAACCAGAGAAAATCTGAAACACAGAAGAGTTAGTGAAGTTGCATATCTTCTAAAACTTTTGTCACCCAAAGACCACCATAGGCAGTATATGTTAGTCCACGGAAGTTATGAAAAGACTTCTACAATAGTTCTGATGGCAAATATTAATCAATCCATCTTTAATTCAGGTGAAACTGATTTGGATTCTAAGACACTCCAGTCAAAGTATTAGAGAATATAATGTATACATGATGGACTTAAAAATAATACATTCTTCTCTATACTTTTTTTAAAGTGAAGCCCAGAAACAATCTAAGTGTCCATAAATAAGGGATTAAATTATGATACATTATTACAAGAGAAAATGCAACTGTTAAAAAGAATAAGGTAGACTTTAGGTTCTGACATGAAAAAAAAGTCCATGATGCATAGTTAAGTGAATATTAAGTGAAAAACGCCACCAGGGCTCCTAAGTGAATACAGCAAGCTGCAAAACAATATGTATAAGATTATTACATTTTGATTTTTTAAAAAGAAGTATTTATAAAAAAACTGTGTGTTTATGTATGCCCAGAAAAATGTCTGAAAAGAGATCAAACTTAACAGTAGTAACCTTTAGGGACTGACTGGAACTAGGAGGCAGTGAAGGAGTGACTCTTACTTTTTCCTTTGTACATTTCTGGTTGTTTGTATTTTTTGTAAGGGTTACTTTTGTGACTTAAAACTAACAATACAAAAATTATAAAAGCAAAATAACACCAATTACATAGATTTATTTATCAGCTACTAACCATTCAAAATAAACGATCTTGCTACTTTAAAGCTGCTGTGTGGTTGAAACTCTAGAAAATCTACTTTATGCTTTTTCTATTACATTGTACTAAAACAAAAGTTACAAGTCTCTAGTGTGTTTCTCGAATGCTTTCTATCCAAACACACACACACACAAAATCCTAGTCATAATAACTAACACATACATGGTACTTACTACACACCAAGAACTGTTCTAAGTGCCATAAGTATATTAACTTATGTAACCTTCACAGTAACCCTATGAGGTGAGTACTATTATTATCTCATTTTACAGTTAAAGAAACTGAGGCCACAGAGCGTAAGTGACCTGACCAAGATTACACAACTAATGAAGGGCAGAGCTAGGATTCAACCTAAGTATGGACTCCAGAGTTCATATTCTTAACCACGAGGCTTTCTGTCTCTCAGTTAATGTGCCAATCTCTTTCTATTAGAAGGCCAAAAAAGGTTACAGGTAAAACCTAGCTAGTTAATATACTCCTCAAAGCTGGAAGAGATGCAAATTTGTTTTTTATGGGTGAATAACCTCCATTCCTACTTATGTCAGTGCCAAACTCAACCCAAGATTCAAGGCTGTATTAAGGCTCATGAACATGTGGGAAAACTCTCTACAAACTCAAATCACAGCCCAAAGTCCATACCTGACTCTACAGTAATCACTGAGCCTAAGAATTAGGTCAGAGACCCATTACTATAAGTACAGCTAGACAAATGGTCTGGACAAATCTCCATGCCAACTCAAAGCAAAGACATTCAGAAACTGTTGCCTAATGTTTTGATCAGGCAGATTTTATTTGTTTAGTTCGCAGGCCCACTTTAGATCTACAGGGGCAAAGAATAAGAGTTGTCTCCAATGTTGCTTAAAGACAACCAGCAGGAAGAAGAACCTCATTTTGTACATGGATCCAAACAGAAATTGTCATTTATCACCATCAGCAAAACTGAACATTCTAGCTTAAGGGGGAGAAAATGGGCATCTCTGCTTAAAATTGTTTATTCGCCCAAACATACTGACCTTGTGATTGAGGAGGGAAAAAAATGGTGCAAGAAAGGGATTTAACCTAATTTATAAATGTGCTCAACCTAGATACACACCTGTCCCAAATGACCTACCGAATCCACATATTTGCAGGGAAAACAAGGATTACAATGTCTTTTTTTTTTTTGTCTTCAAGTGGTCTGTATTACTGTTTGTAAACAAAATCCTCTCAACATCTCCTCCACATGTCACATGCACAGCTGATATTTACGTAAACAAGGAGAAATGAACAAGGAAATTGGAGCTTTGGGAGGAATCCCTTATACTCAGTTTTTGACCCATCGGTTAAAGGAGGTACTGTGCTGGCTTTCAAACTTCCCCCAAAAGTTTGCACCCATTCAGGGTCTCTGACAAAGGCCAGAAAGCCCTGTCTGGAAGGAGATGCTATGCCTTCCAAACAGCAGCCGCCCCCCTCCCGAGGAAGCACAGCCCGGGGGCACAAAAGACTTTCCAGGTTGAGGGGGGAAGGGAGGGAGGTGAGCTGGAGCTAGGACCCTCCCTTGGGAGAAGATATCTGGGAAACCTTTGGAGCAAGAAACGGTAAATTCCAGACAAGAGCCCAACCCCAGATGCCGGGGGCTGGGCTAAGGATGGGTGCCACTGGGAAGGACTGTACCAGTGAAGAAGCGCTGGGAGTTACCTGCGGGCGGAGAAGGGACCTCGGTGGCAGGTGGGGTGGGCGGGACGCTGCTGACGCGGAGAACTGGGGTCAGGGTCTGGAGAGTGGTGGGCGCCGGAACAGTGGTCGCTACAGGGGTGGTCGGCGCTAGGCCAGTGGTCGCCGAGAGGGTGGTCGGCGCGGGTCTAGTAGTCGCCGGAGGGTTGGTCGGAGTGGGTTCCACCGCCTGAGAAGTGGTTGGCGACGGGCCAAGAGGTGCCTGAAATGTGGTCGGAGCCGATCCGGCCGTCGCCCGAGGGGTGGTCTCCGGAGACTGGGCTGAAGAGGTCGCAGCCAGAGGTTCGTAGACAGTAGCACGCGGAGGTCCAGTCCTCGGGGCCTGGGTCGTGGGAGCCGTGGTCTTAGAGAAGGGGTGACTAGGTTCGCCCCATAGCCCTGGGCCCGGCGACGCTTCCACCTGCCCTGCGGCCCCGCCGCCACCGGTGACATTCTCCGCCGAGGTGGCTGAGACGGCGCCGGCTGCGGCGGCAGCGGCGCAGCACAACAGGGCGAGGCCGCCCAGGCTCGGCAGGCTCCTCATGGCGCGCGTGGCTCCGCCATTCATTCATTCAGTCAGTCAGCTGGTCAATCATCTTCTCTTTCCTCCACTCCGACCCGGGAAGCCGCCGCAGCCGCCGCCAGCACCCGGCGCACTATCGCCATCTCCCTCTGACAGGCGGCCGGCCCCGCGGGCGGGCCCCAGCACAGAGGGAGCAACCGGGCAGTGAGCGGACAGCCCGCCCTCCCCGATTGGCAGCGGCTCCCGACCAATTGGAGGGCACGCTATCCCACGTGATCCACCCGCTTCCCGGCCTCTTTGTAGCCCCAGGGGCCAATCAGAGGACGCCGAAGGGACGGGGCGGTGCGTAAGGCGGGAGAAGGGTGGTGAAAGCCGCGCTCCGGCTGACTGGGCTCGCTGTGGTCCCGGCTTTGTCTGCCCGGGTAGCGGGGCGCGGGCCTGGGACACCCGGAGCCCCGCAGCAGACAAAGGACGCGCCTCGCGCGGCAAATGCTGGGCCAAGTCATCTGCTCCACTGGGCGCCGAGCGCGACCTGGGGCGGGGAATCTGCTCTCGGGAGCTTCCCCTCCCTCCTGAACAATGGGGCGCCGGCGCCTCACCCCGGCTCGGGCGGAGACTGGGCTGGAGCCCCCGCGCTGGGCGAGGGCGGCAGCAGCGAGCATGTAGAGCGAAGCATTTCCCTCTCCTGCTGGAGAGAACCTGGCTTCGGACCTGCGAGATCCGCCCTGCCATTCTCATTTCAAAGATGGTGAAACTGAGGCCCTTGTTGAGGCCCTCCCTGAACCAAGACCAACGCCCTCACCAGGCACCTGTTGTCGACCAGGCGCTGTGCCAGGCTGGACGATGGGTCTGGAGACCCGTCAGGAGCCGAGGGTCCAAGCGTCCTGCGTAGGGGAGACAGATTCACACTCAACGCCTCACCCTAAATCCCTCCGGGAGAAGAGAGTCTAATGGGGTTGAACCTCAGCTTCATGTCTCCTGCTGAATGGTCTTGTAGCATGAACATAGTTTTCTCATCTGTGATAGGGTACCCCCGCTCCCCTCACAGAGCTGTTGTGAGAATTAAGTAACAATTTACGTAAAAGGCTTAGCCCAGTACCTGGCCTGCAGTAAACCCTCATTAATGTTAACTACTCTCGGTGTACTATGTCAGGACAAGTCTAGGGTTAGAAAGCAGCCCCAAGCAACCAGCCCTGCTGTGTCCTCTGAGCCCCTGCCTGTGCCAGGGATTGGGGTGGGCTGATAGCAAGACGTGACCCTGGATGACATTAAGCCTTGGATGAATCTGGAATTCGGTTGCACAGCCTTTCACTGTACGCCCAGAATCCAGACTTTGGTCAGGTGCTGCTGCCTATGCTCAGCAGCTTCCAAAGAGAGCCAAGTGAAGCAGCCTTGTCATCTGACCGGACATAATCCCAGCCCCACTGCCAACCCAGTTCTCTCCTCCCCTGCGTGATGCTTGCCTTTGTGTCTGGTTCCTCATTACTCATTGGCCTCCAACCAGAAGGGCAGGACAAGATTTACGTGTGAAACTGTGTCTGTATTAATGAAACATGCATTTATTTGCATGCATGAGTAATGTGTGTATGGAATATGTATGTGCTTGTGTATGAAAGCATAAACATGCTTATGAGTGTATGCATATTATATGTATTTGTGTGAGTTTACGAGCATGGGAGCTAGTATCTATTTTTGTATTATTCGTTTTAAGTATCTGTGCATGTGTACTGGTATGTGTTTTTTTTTCTGTGTGTTTTTGCATTTGTGGGTATGTATGGGTGTGTCTTGGTATATCTGTCTGTGTATATAAGGGAGGACAAGAATGGGAGGGGTGTGTGCGTGTGTGTGTATTTTGGTTTCAAGATCAAAATTTAGCAAGCACTAATCAAGATTCTATTTTTATTTCCCTTGGGGAAGGGGGTCTTTGGTCATATATCCTTACCTATATTCTCTTGCTAATTCCTCTTGGCCATCCAAACTCCAACCAAAATGCCACATCCTCTAAGAAACTTCCCTGGATTTCTAAGTGGGAATTAATCTTTCCCTCCACATTTTCCCTCTACTCTTTGTTCATTCATTGATTATAGCCTTGATGATCAATCTATCTTTCCCCCTCCCTCTTCCTAAAAGGATTAAGGATGGCTTTCAGAAATATATACAACTGGATTAATTGAACTGCCTGTACAGCTTTATTGCTTCTCACCAGCATGCATCAGCCTTGATACTAGACCTTGTGATTTATGTGTCTGTTTCTCCTATCCCACTCTTCTCTCTATTCCCAAGTGCCTAGCAGGGATAATACATGTGAGTATTAATCCATGCTGGTTAAATTGAATTAAATCGAAAAGAGATCCTGTGGTGCTGTGGGAAGAGCTTGAGTCTTAGAGTCAGACAGATCTGAGTCATGACTCTGCCAGCAGTGTGACCTTAGAGGAAACCTTTCACCTCTCTGAGCCTCAGTTTCCTCATCTATAAAATGGGGCCAATAAACTCTATCTCATTTAATTGGACTGGGGATTGAAGAGGATGTTTTTACAGAGCCTTTGCTCAATCTATGTAGGTTCATATTTTTACCAGTGATAACCTTGAGCCTTGTTGGCTGAAGAACCAGAGGAGAAACCTGTTCCAAAACTTCCCCCAGCAGATGACATAGTCTGACAGTTGACTTACAAGATACTGCCTAGTGAGATCTGAAAAATGCTGGGTTGGCCCTGACCTGTGCTGTATCAGAGTGTCACCAGCGGTAGGGAGGAAAAGCTGATACAGCTTGTTTACCTGGAGAATCACAGAACAGAGGACCAGTGGACTTTGCCAAAGTGATCTGGGCCAGCTCTCTGCCTCAGGCAGGGTCACCCATGCTGGGGCTTCTAAGATATGATAATTTACCCATAATATGTATAGAAAATGTGAATTTTTTGAAAGAGAATGAAGGTGTGTTAATGTTGATTCATTCAACGTTCAATTCTTCATTTTGCAGCCCTCACTTTTATTTCTAAACACAAGATGATTCTGTATTTCTTAGGAATAACATTTTACTTTGTGTTTAAAAACTGGAAACATCTTAAATGTCCAACATCAGAGAAAGGCATTATTACACCTGTTCAATTTAATCATATAAAGTCATTGTAATGATGGCTATGAAGACAATATAGGAAATATTAATAATAGACAATTGAACCCTTACTATGTGCCAGACCCTATACTAAGAGCTGCACATGAATTTCATTGAATCCCAACAACGACCCCAGTATGTCAATACTTATTGTCCCCATTTTACAGGAAGGCAACCAGGGCATAGAGAGGATAAGCAATTTGCCCAAGGATACTTAATAAGTGATAGAGCCAGAAATCAAACCGAGGCTAGCTGGCTCCAGCTGGTACTCTTAAAACTATATTATAAAGGGAAAATGCTTATGATATAATGTTAAGCAGAAAAGGAAAAATAAAAATTATAGCTGTACGTTCACCAGAAATGCAATAAAATACTATTTTAAAAAAACCATAGCTGGGACAACTATGTAACAAAATGTTAACCGGCAGTTCCCCTGTAGCTCCAAAAGTGCAGCTAAGGCCCAGGACTCTAAAGAGAGCTGTCAACCCACCCATGACAACTGGGGTCAGAGGGCTTGACTGGGGGGCCACAGAACAGCAGGGGTCAGAAAGGATCTTGTTGGACCCGTGAGCAGCCTGAACTTTTCTCCTGTAGGCAACAAAGATGCTATAAAGGGCCCAAGCTGACTCCTCTGTGTATACTCAGCAGCACCTAGCATAGTGTCAAATACACAAAAGTGGCTCAAAAATTGCATGTTGAGCTAAACAGGAGTTTTGCATTCATAACTCATTGCTGAAAGGGAGAGATCTCACCCACACTTGAAAGAGGAAGAAACTGAGCCTGTGAGAAGTTATAAGGGACTTGCCCAAGATCTGCCTTCCCATCTTCCAAGCTCATGTTCTTCTCTACACTCCCCAGTCCATTCGTGTGGCCACTGTACAGTGCACTAGAAAGTAGAAGGGTGTTATAAATTGAACTGAGTCCCCTCAAAATACATATCGTAAATCCTAACTTCTGTACCTGTGGTTATAATCGTATTTGGAAATGGGTTGTCTTTGTTACGTTAATGAGACAGGATTAGTGTAGGGTGTGTCATAAATGAATCTCTTTTGAGATATAAAAGAGACTAAATAAGCAAGCCAAGCAAGAGAAGGAGGAATGGGGGAATAGAGATGTCAAACCACATGAAGACTCTCCAGGAGGAAACGCTCAGAAGAGACAAGGACCTTCCCCTAGAGCCAACAGACAGAAAGCCTTCCCCTAGAGCCTGCACCCTGAATTCAGACTTCTAGCCTCCTTATCTGTGAGAAAATAAATTTCTGTTTGTTAAATTCACCCATCTGTGGTATTTCTGTTATAGCAGAACTAGATAACTAAGACAGACATCAGTGAATATGTACTGTATATGTCAAAGAAAGGACACACTCCAAATTTAACCTTCCTATTGTTGTTGTTGGGAACCCTGGTGGCACAGTGGTTAAGAGCTACGGCTGCTAACCAAAAAGGTGGGCAGTTTGACTCCACCAGGCTCTCCTTGAAACCCTACGGGGCGGTTCTACTCTGTCCTGTAGGGTCGCTATGAGTCGGAATCGACTCGACAGCAACGACTTTTTTGTTTGTTTATTTTATTGTTGTTGTTGTTAGTTGCCTCTAGTCAGCTCTGACTCACGGTGACCCCACGTACGTTGCCCAGTCCTGCACCATCTTCATGATCGTTGGTATGCTTGAGTCCATTGTTGCAGCCACTGTGTATTTTAAATGCCTTCCAACCTACAGGGCTCATCTTCCAGCACTACACTGGACAATATTCTGTTGTGATCAATAGGGTTTTCATTGCCTAATTTTTGAAAGTAGATCTGCAGGCCTTTCTTCCTAGTCTGTCTTAGTCTGAAAGCCCCACTGAAACTTGTCCACCACAGGTGACCCTGATGGTATTTGAAATACAGTGACAGTTTCTAGTGTCACAGCAATACACAAGCCACCACAGTACAACAAACTGAAGTACAGCAGCATTTAAAGAAAGGGAACCTTTGGGAGTAAAAAAGAAAAGAAGGCATAATAATATAATGGATGTGGCTCAGGAAAATAACTGCATT